GGGCACAATGGGCGACCAGGGACACGAAGACACGCGGACGCAGAGACCCGGGGACATCGGCACACGGAGGGCCTGACACTTGCTGGCGCAATAACGCCGTGGTCTGTGATGTCCCTTGGAGGTGAAGTGGGTGGATCGTGCAGGCTTCTTCTAAACCCACGTGGCTGCACGGCAATCAGGAGATGGCAGGACAGCAAGTGGTTTGACGAACTCGTTCGTGCGGAGCTTTCAGTGTCGTTAGTTCGTACGCACGGGAGATTTTGCCTGATGACCTCTTGACCTTGATGTCACACATTTCTTTTACAAGTACAACAATTACCCACCCTCAATGAATCTCAAGTCTCTTTTCAGGGGGGTCCTTGATAGAGCTTGATAGAGCTGTTTGTCCAATTATTAGTTTTGTCGTGTGAGGGCATGACACCCAGTTTGTCCACAAAGATGGGCTAATAAAACCCGCCCACTGCACTGCCACGTCCTGGCTCTCTCACACTCAACTCAGCGGATTTTCGCAAAGCTGCAGGGTACACCAACCCGAACCCTCCACAATTGTCTGAGGACAGGCAGTGCGCCACCAGTGTACGTGCAAGCACTTTATATTCAACACACACACGACATACGTGTAAGTATAATTAGCAAACACTGGGTCCGTTACAAATCTCCCCTCCAGTGATTTGATGAACCATCACGATTTGGGGTCAGAATTCAATTCAGATTTCATTATTTTTTCTCATTAAAAAAAATAATCTAAATCGTATTTTGTGTAATTGATTCTGTCTTGTTTGTACAATTTCACGTGGATTCCGTCAGTCTAAATGTAAAATTTGTAATAGCAATTTACAGCCTTCATCAATCCACTGCTGGATGAAGATCTCCCCACACCATGTTAATCATGTCGGTTGTTTAACGACACTTTCCCAAACTGGTCAGTGTGAGTAAGTGAAGGGGTTAGCGTGGGCACTCGTTCAGACACTACTCTCCACCGATAGCCATGACTGGGAATCCAACTCTGATCACTCGATTCACAGCGCAGAGCGCTAACCGTTGTGCCACTGCTCCATCCCCAAATTATACATATTTTTTACAATTAGTGAATGATCAAATTCAAATATGCATAATTCTATGCCTGTGCCATGAGTATAATATTTAAATTAATAGATGAATTAACCAATTGTTACAGCACCTAATGTGCATGGTAGATGTATACCCGACCGTACGCATCCATTATCCTCTCTCCACTCTCTTCTTTCCATCTCTCTCACGGCCTCCCACTGCTCTCTTCCCATTTTTCTGCCCCCCCCCCTCCCTTCTCTACCCGACATTCACACATGACCTACATACGTGTAAAAAGTAGGTCAATGCGCTTTTACCAACGCTTGTCTTAACTCTTGAGATCTCATCCAGAAACTGCGAGATCATGAATTCAAACCCTGGGTCAGAATGTTCTCCCGGGGGTGGGGGCGGGGGGCAGCAAGGACTGGAGGGGCGGGGGAGTTCACAATGGCTGTTGCAGAGACTACGATCTGGCACCATAGAGATTCTGGGTTCAAGCGCTGGGTCTGGGTCTCTCCCTCACTCTCTTTGGGATTGTAATGGCCTGACAGATACTGAGACAACGCTTGTGAAATGTGGGGTTGAGCCCTGGCTCTGGGTCTCTGTCTCCTGTGGGCTCATAATGGTCATTTTGCAGATTGCTGAAACATTACTGTCGAGAAACCGGGTTCAAGCCAGAGGTCTGCGTTTTACTGCGTGATCCATAATGGATGTGACATGATGATGCGGAGAAAATACTTGTGAGATTCTGTGTTCGAGCTCTGGGTCTGGGTCTCTCTCCATTGGTTCATAATGGCTGTGCCACAGAAGCTGTCATCACATACGAGGCCCTGGATTATTTGTATGGGTGTCTCATTCATATATTTTAAAAAATACAAAGTTGTTTAAGTTTTTATTTTTGAGATGGGCTGATAAGCTAATGGTTTATTTGAGATATTTTTGTACAGGAACCTGGGATGTGCTGCATGCAGACCACTTTAGACACGCAAATCGTCTTTTATTATATCTCTACAAGCTCAAAATGGCAATGCCAACGACAACTTGATGTCGAAGCCATGTAAACAGAGTAAAAAAAGCCCGGTATTGTATAAAAAATAAACTGTGCAATAAATGTCAATACATTCAAGAAAATAAAAGATTGTGAATCTTTAGAAGCATATTTTAGTAACTCTGTGGGTAACACCTATTGTGTGACCCTGTGCTTGAAGGGCACCAGAAGTTGGAGGCCAACTGAGAGGGGAGGACGCGTGTGAAGGGAGTGGGGTGCTGCTGTGCCGGGCTCTGGGCTCACCAGCTCCGGGAATGATGCCCAGCTTGGTTTCAACAAGGCCCATCTTTGCTGTAGAGGCTGCGGGAAGAGTTAACGCACGGACGCTGTATTCAGTCGGGACGCCGCGACGGGGAAACACTAATCCAATGTATTGTACGATATGAGGTGCGCGACAATCTTATTGTTCCTGTTGCAAAATGTCAGCATATTGTGATAACCAATGGTATTTAAAAATATACATGGTAATTTCAAATAAAATTGCTATTACCAAGTTAATTAGTGCTTTAAAAAACATTTTCCAGAGTAATGGACAATTTTGTGATTATATAAACATTCTCGTTTTAATAGTTTGCTTATTTAATTAGTATTTGTTATTGTGTAGCTGGCAGCATGTGTGTGTATTATGAACATTATAGATTTTAACGATGCAATGATTACAAGACTTATGGTAGGATTACGTTGATTGAACTGCGGTTTAATTTTTAAGTTCAAGTTCATTTTATATCATGGGACCTCCTTTGCTAGTACCAAAATATGAGAATATGTTTTCCCCTTTTTTCTGGCAACAAAACAGCTGTGTTAAGATGTTAAAACACCAAACTGAAACCTTTTACAAGGAATCATGTCTGCATTAACCACAATACTTGTGGTCAGAATGCACACAAAAAACATACTCTGATAATATATGCATTGTCCTTGAAACTGATTGGTCCACACCAGAGACAGCTTTCTTATGAGCCTAGTCTCAAAACTGTGTTATACCAGAGGATGCCAAAAAGTTAATTTTATTTAACCATGTGAGAACTTATTTGGAAGAGTAACCTGGATCAGCAAACTGACAAAAGTAAAACAAATAAAAACAGTACGACACAAAATATGAATTTCCTAACCACTACACTAGCGACCATACAACAAAGACCACCCGTACACACACACACATGCATACGCATGTACACGCACACGCATGTACACGCACACGCATGTACACGCACACGCATGTACACGCACACGCATGTACACGCACACGCATGTACACGCACGTACACGCACACGCATGTGCACGCACACGCATGTGCACGCACACGCATGTGCACGCACACGCATGTGCACGCACACGCATGTACACATACCTGCTACACGGATGTCACAGGCGAGGGCCATCTCAAGGCCGCCGCCCAGAGCTGCCCCGTCCAAGGCAGCAATGGTGGGGACCGGCAGGTTTCCTGAGGTCACGGGGTCAGTAGGTCAGCAGTCAGGTCATGAAGTTCACCTTGGTGCGTGTTGGAATACAGCAGTCCTCACAGAAGCTGATGTACGACGTCACAGCCTCTGTGAGTTCATCCAGACTATTGGTAGCAGTCGTGAACATATCCCAGTCAGTACAGTCCAAGCACGCCCACAGATCCTCCATAGCCTCACTGGTCCACTGTTTCGATGTCCTCACAGCAGGTTTACAGAGCTCTAGTTTCTGCCGGTATGCAGGAATCAGGTGGACCATGGCATGGTCAGAGTGACCCAGTGCTGCTCGGGGGACGGCGTGGTAGGCTCTACTGACTGTAGCGTAGCAGTGATCCAGCGTGTTCCCTTCTCTGGTAGGGCATTTAATGAATTGTTTGTATTTGGGGAGTTCGTGGCTGACATTACCGTTGTTAAATCGCCGAGTACGATAACCAGGGAATCCGGATTTTCTCGCTCCACACTCACAATCTGGTCGGCGAGCATGCGTTGGGCCTCTTTAACCTGAGGACCCGGCGGCAAATAAACTCCGACCAAAATGAGCGACGCGAACTCGCGAGGCGAGCAGAAAGGTTTACAGTTTATAAAAAATGATTCCAGAGAACAATGTTGCAGAATCACTGTTACATCTACACACCAGCCACTGTTAATGTAAAAACAAATACCACCGCCCCTCGTCTTGCCGGACAGTGCTATGTCCCAATCCAATCTTACGAGTTGGAAGCCTGCCAGTTGTAATGCAGTATCCGAGATCAAATCACACGGCCATGTCTCCGTGAAGCACAAAACAGAAGATGAAAAAAAGTCTCTGTTTTTCACCATCAGTAGCTGAAGTTCGTCCATTTTGTTGCACAGTGAACGTACGTTGGAGAGGAAAAAGCTCGGAAGCGCTGTTCGGATCCCGCGTCTGCATAGCCGCACTAGAGCCCCCGCCTGTTCACTCCTTCGGCGGCGTTTCCCTCCTTGAGCAAAGCCTTGCGCGGTTTTGACTAGAACGCCCGCTAATTCTGCCGCTGGAAGCAGAAAAATGGAAAATAAATCCACAGGGGTTGTTTCCCTAATGTTTAAAAGTTCATCTCTTGTTAGAGAACTCCGAAAAACTTGGCAGAACACTGAATTAACAGACAGAACAAGACAAAACAAGACTAAACAGGGCGCACCAACCGGCCGAGGTTGCCATCATCGGCAGCATGGCATCACGGGGGAGGCGAGCTGTACTTGCTCAGTAGAGTAGCATTGTCTTTTTATTTCATTTCCATCGTGGAGGTCTAAGCGTCAAGTGAGTGGAGGAAGTGTGAGCGAGAGTAAAAAGTAGAAAGAAGTTATGAGTTTAGCTCAGAAAAGTTGAAGTGTTGGGTTGATGTGCTCATTGTGATAGTGCATCTGCTGACCGCCATCATCATCACACCCCCATCATCGTCAACCAAATTGACAGTGCAATCTACTGATATTTTCTTTTCTTTCTTCTATTTCTTTGGATATTTTTGTTATTATCTATTTGTATTTTTATACAAGTGAATTAAGAATATGGATGCTAATTATGTATAGTGTACTGTTTTTGTTTTGCTGCCTTGCCCAAGATTTTATTTGGTGTTGAATAATCTGCAGGAATTGATGTCCTTATGCAATTTGTCCTCATATACTTTTTTTTTTAGTGACTTGCTTAACTTTCCGATACTTTGCACTCCTGTTGTTGTATTGTTTGTTGTCGGAAATTTCTGACCCACACCGACTGAACATCTGTGAAAAAAAGCTTCATAGCTCATCGGATTCTTCCAGTCTAAATAAAGATTCTGATTCTGATTAATGTTATGAAACATTTTCATTTTCTCCAGTTTGTTCAGTCAGACACGGGATACATAGCCCCCCGTTTCCAATATGAACATAGGTACCTACATTCACGAATTCTACTTTCGCCGCAAATTTTCAAGAAACGAACCCTCGCAGATGTCAAGGTTTTACCATACAGTGAAAAAGAGGGTTGATGGTTCACACAAATTCCTGAAACTCACTCCCTACCCCTTGCCAGTGTATAAGCAGTACAGATAGTGGATTAATGCCCATATGTATTCCATCTGTACTGACATTGTCACCCCTCAATCGTGTGGGTTTTCTGCTGGTACTACATGTATAAACACTCCTTAATGGGGTTGAGCAATAATCCAAATATAGGATCACAGAGCTTGGGCAATTGTTAGCACTGGTTCTGGCTGCCGTCCCACTTGTCTGTGAATTCCCACGGCTCTTTTAATAATTCTCTCTCTCTCTGTGGAGAGTGAACGAATACTGCGCACGTTACAAATTCTACGTTATGATTATTATCCAGTAGCGTTGGTTTAGGAGGCCATGCTCTATTGACGACTCAGAGTCCTGGTCTCCTGGAGTGTCACAGTCAGAGTTCCCCTCAATCCGCTTCCAGCCTTTGCCGACTGTCTCACCGAGGTCCACCGACAACTGTCGAAGGTCTGCCACAAAAGGACCAACTTCGTGCTCGGGCATCCGTGCTCTTTCCTTGAGATCGGCCCCTGCAAGAGAATGGCACCGGTGGGGATAAGAGGTTTGTAAAGAAGGAACACACAGCACAAATGCTCTACAGCTCTTATCTTACAGGGTCTCACACACACACATACCGAGGATGCAGGTGCTCTAAGCGACACCACTGCACCGCAAGTGACGTATGTTTATTTATTTATTTATCTTTTACCCAAAATGTATTCTCATTAAGCCACTGGCATCATGTTATGAGACAAGGAGTCCATTTGGGTCTGTTGCAAAGCAGAACAACCATTCGTTGTCTCAGAACGCCTTGGGGTAAGTATGACAGTCAAACCAATATTTGACGTTCTCACGGCTGGAACATGGCCAAATTAACTGCACAGCCAAATTGAACGCGATGCTTTTTGCGTGCAGTCGTTAGTGACCAGGCTGCGAGCATCAACTCGCGACACGGGGGGGGGGGGGGGGGGGGGGACGTAGTTTAATCACAGGCAGCTGCTGGGATTCAAAACCAGACTCTACGCGGTGCCAGCTTGAAGTCCTGACCTCTAAGCCACCTGACCAGCTCTGGCTGCCGTGTGTTTCCATACAGTGTCACTGCACAGACCACCACAGCACCATGGCGCCACCGCAGTGCCATGGCAGCGGTTATTAGATCTACGTAACTTGGAAGACAAAGGACAAAATATTAAGTTGTGGTAAGAGAGACCCTGCACGGATGCATTTTAAATAGCGGAGGCACAATATGAAGCTGTGACAGCATTGACCTTGGAAGGATTGTTCCAGCAGCTAATGGTTATGGACTAAAAATCGAATTTGTGTGAGGATCAGAATTAGTGTTGGGGTCAAAATTCATATTCGTGTTCGAATCATTGTGAGGGCTAGTGTTAGTGTTATGGCTGGTATCAGTGCTAGTGTTGGCTTTCGGTGTTGAGTGTTATATTTCGTGCTCGTGTTCATGTTAGGGTTGGGGCCAGTGTGAGTGTAAGCATCAGGGCTAAGTAAGGTGTTCATTTCACCTGCACAGAAAATTCCCGGCACCTCGCTCCTCAAAATGACAACTCTCACAGTGCGGTTCCATCTCACAGCCACCATCACCTCCTTAAACTGACACATTAACAACATCGTGAGAAACATCACCACCAACACCATCATCATCATCGCAAAAAACGAGTGAACAACATTAAACGCACCAAATTCAATCTCTGATCGACGCAGTACCTAAGACCTACTCTTAACATCTCATCTCACCCCATGCGCAATTGCCATTCCTGCTCCAGTTGCTACTCTGATCACTGTCTAGTCAATACGAGGTTATTTTCATTCGTACAGCGTCCATATCTCAAGACGCTGTACAGAAACAATGGGCATATGTATTGAATAGAGATCGTCAGTCGAAGGCCAAAAAAAAAGGAAGATCTTCTTGACCCTGGACCTCCCACTGAGCAAAGGTTGCTTAGGCAGTAGAGCACAGTGGGAGCCAACCCTGAATTGTCAGACCTGCCACTCGGACCGATAAACAACCCACCTGGCCGGGTCTTACGAAGACAGTGATTTGGATGGCTCACATCATTTCTATTCTTGCTTCCCCTGGCGCACTGCCAGTGTATTTTGCAACAAACGACCGCCAAATTTGCTTCAGCTGTCACTGACGACATTCAAGTGGCCATGACAGTCTCTGTCTTTAACTTACACACATTTAATTAACTCAACTTTTCCACCACCATTATTTAACCTCAGCCGCCTCGAGGCCACGCTTTTTTTTAACGTGAGCTTAAAAAAAAAAACATGTCGTTGTTCATACTTCTCATCTCAAACTGACTACAAGGCTGCAATGAACAAATGTAAACATGCCATCATGCAAGGATCAACTTGACTCCGTCAACCACAATTTTGTGAAAATGTAATTAAGTTGGTCAGCTCTTGCCCTTTCTGATCCTATGCCAAAACGGTTTACAACCACTCCTGCAAGAGATCACTTCCACAAATGAATGACGAATTGTTTATTCGAATGCATTTTCCATCCATCATCATCAGTGGCAGCAGTAGTAACATCACCATCATGAAAAATGTCATGATATAAAGAAAATGACCAAACACCAGACAATGAAGAATTATTTTGAACAAGAGTCTTGCAACTTGTTGCTGCTTTTTAAAAAATATATTTACCATTTTAAAACGATTAACACTATTAGCAGCAGCAACTATGATCAATGTCACGTTACGTACACACATGTTGTGTACGTGTTGCGTGCATTGTTTTGCACGGTCAACACACTTGGTGTGTAGGTGTTGTTGTGCATTGTTATGCTGTATGTGTTATAAATGTGATGTGCATGTGCTGTGCGTGCTATACGCATGAATTATCTATTGTTCACTTGCTTTGAAGGTCCGATTGTACATTGTATGACTTACGGCCTTCACCAGGATTTTGCCGAGCGCATTTCTTGCTTCTGGACGATTTAAACCCACGACGACGATTCCTAAAAACACCACAATCACCATCACCACAATCACCATCACCACAATCACCATCACCACACACACCATCACCACATACACCATCACCACACACACCATCACCACAATCACCATCACCACACACACCATCACCACACAATCACCATTACCCCACACAGCATCACCACAATATCCATCACCACAATCACCGTCACCACACACAGCATCACTTCACACACCATCACCACGATAACCACCACCACAATCACCGTCACCACACACACCATCACCACACACACCATCATCACAATCACCATCACCACACACACCATCACCACACACACCATCACCACGACAACCATCACCACAATCACCACACACACCATCACCACAATCACCGTCACCACACACACCATCACCACACACACCATCACCACACAATCACCATTACCCCACACAGCATCACCACGATAACCATCACCACGATAACCATCACCACATTCACCGTCACCACACACACCATCACCACAATCACCATCACACACCATTGCCACACACAGCATCACCACAATCACCATCACACACCATTGCCACACACACCACATTTAGGATGTAGGGCACACAGCTGTACAAACGGGACTCTTGATGAGACACGGCAAAACATGGGCAAACACAATCGATTCTTAAATCAAATCACTAACATAATTCGCGACAATAATCCCTAATCGAGTCTCAGTATGGGCGTGATGATTCCGCCACGGAAAATAAAAAACTGTTTTCATTTCCGTACTCTTCTCACAATCCTGTATTCGGAGCACTGAAAATAATCCGCCTTTTTACGTAAGAAAATGCCAAGATAATATGTATCGTGAGGTTTTATTTTTTTTACATTCTCTAGGATTTAAATAATATTCTGCTGAAAACATTGCATTAAAAGGAGCACATTTTTAAAAGTTAAAGCAATTTAAAATTAACCGTGTCAGTTTTCTGTTATTCATTCATCTCAATTCTACGGCATCGCTGTTATACGCATTCTGAACTTATTCCGCGGTTAAACTCAAATGTTTATTTGTCACACGGCAACAGCTAACAGCAGCCACTAAGGGGCCATCCATTCAGTACGTACGCATGGAGGGGGGAGGGTGGTTAACCCAAATGCGTACGCTTGCGTATGGGAGGTCTACTGACAATGTACGTACACATAGGAAACGGGGGAGGGGGGGGGGTGAAGCCTCGATAATTATAATGCAGCCGCGTGCGTACAGGGAGGGGGGGAGGGGTCAAGTTTTGACAGATTTTTGCGCACCTACTAAATGGATGGCCCCTAACAACAGAGATATTGTTGTGGAGAGGAACCCAGCCAGCAGCCAGCCCACGTTCCCCACTGCAAGACACTCGTGTTTTCTTTGCCGCGTCTTAATGAGTATGTTTTGTACGCAATGCGATAGAGGCCGGTACTTCCAACAATTGTAAATCAATCAATCGATTATTTATAATAATTAAATTAAGAATCGCAACAATCGATTCACTGGAGGTGCTGAGTCGTTAAGCCCTCCCCGTGTCGACTAGAGCGGTACCTCACAAGCGGTGTACGCGGAGTTTTAAAAAAAGGGATTTGGAAGAGGTTGCTTTGATTGTTGACTCAGATAGGAGAAAAGATTTGGTTTTTTTTGCACTTATTATTTGTAAAATATGTTCCTGAATTATTTTTTCTATAATCTGATATTAAAATTGCTTAATGTATGCATTATTATTATTACTCCTACAGATGCCGACCTTGCAGAAATTTCGGTGGTAAATTATGTTTCGGAGGTATTTTTGTTAAAACTAGCACGAAGATTTTGATGTGACCGTTCGTCCCGCCAGCCAACAACCAAGACTTTGTATGATACAGTACGGTATAGTATAACATATGATTACGTCTTTATTATTCTTTCCGTTAACCTTCATTGTATAAATAATAGCAGTGGCGGTCACGTCCACATGCCGTGGGGGCTGCTACATTAGGAACACGTTTTGGAGGCTCGTCCCATCGAGGGAAGCGCTGCTCGTCATTTAAAAACATTAATCCATCTCCCTCGCAACCGTCACGTAGCAACCGTTACGTAGCAACGGTTGCTTAGCAATCTGAGCTCAACCCCCCCCTTCCTCCTCCAAAACCTCGGGTTGCTATGGTGACCGCACCCACCCTCGTCGTCGCCCTCCAGATACCGCACGGTCACCTCCTCGCGCGGGCCCGGGGAGGGGCCTCCTAGGCTCGCGGCTCCGCCGGCCCCGGATCGAGGCAAGCCGGTAGAGAATCCAGCCGAGGACGGGCGTCTGCTAGGCCTCCACGGAGTCGCGCACGGAGCCGGTTTGGGGCGCGCGTCGGCCGCCAGGCGCGCGACGCGACGCGCCCGGGCGAGCAAAGCGACTCGAGAAAACATCGAAGGGAACAGAAAGAAATGTGATAAAGAGACGTCGGTCGGTGTGAGTTTGCGCCTCGCGCAGCCGCCGTGCCACGGCGTTTTAACGTTGAGCTTGATGGTGATATCGTCCCCCCTCCTGCACCCCCCGTGCACTTTAAAGCAAGTGGGGGTGGCAGAGAGAGGGAGGCTACGCCGGCTGCTGCTGCCGCCACTGCTGCTGCTGCTGCGATTGGCCTCCTTGGTGGGGGTGGCGACAGCCGACGGCGTGCGGGGAGGGGGGCTCCCGGACACCCCCCCGGGTCCGAGTGGAGCAAAGGTCGGCGGTGGAGTCTGAGCTGAGCCGGCGAGATTCACTGACGGCGAGACGAACACGAAGGTCACGGGATGTTGGGGCCAGTGCTGTTAGCGAGTGGCACGTGTGAAGGACTGTGGCACACGGGAGGGGGATGGGTGGCCAGCACCACGCCCGACCGCCTTTGTCTCCCCGGTGGCGGTGATCTCACACACCGCACCAGCTACTTATTTGAGGCTGAGTCGACCTAGGGGAGGCCCAGGATCGGTTCAGATAATCGTCACTGGTGTTGGCCATCACCAGGCATCAAACTCGGGTCGCCGGGTTTGAACCACAGCGAGCGAACCACTCATTACCGCTCCACATCACACACACACGTGTACCGGTGCAGATAATGGTCACACTTATTGTTGGTGGCCGTGGAGGAAACCGAACTCGGGTTGCTGGGTTCGTAGCGCAGCGCGCGAACCGGTACACACAGAAGCAGCAACGACTCATTCATTGAGTGTCATTCATTTAACCGCTGGTGCCCCCGTTGAGCTGAACAAACTGGCTGTATGGAGAGTGTGACGACGAACCTGTGAAGTGTGGACTTGTTGAATAAAGGTACCTACTGGAAACCCTTGTCTGCGAATCGTGACACTACATTAACATGACCTCTGAATATCGATTCAGTATTCTTTATTGAACCATTCCTTGTCCATTATTACGACTACTTTCATGCAATGTTCGTTGTTTCACTGAGAATTGACCAATGTCATCCATGTAACCTTTAGTGACACATTACATGGTTCATATAAACATCGACAATTAACATCTGTTGAGTTGGTGTCAACATCTTCTTTGGTTAGTCAGTTTCACATCACATCAGTTTCACATAACATCAGTTGCACATCACACCTCAATGTCTCTTCCTCAACATGTCTTTAGTTCCTTTCCTATAAGTTAGTTCATTAATTATGTGTCCTTGATTTAACCAAGAATGGATCCCAAAGCTGCAGAGTTGGTCTCAAGATAATTTAGACACAAAAGTCACGTACAGCAAGTTCACAAAACAATTGCAGGTATCAATTAGATGAACACAACTGGAACACATCGCCGAGTATGTATACCAAGGGGAGAGTGGATGAATGCAGATTTACGATAAAAAAAAATATTAAATAAAGAGTCAGACAAGAACAGGTTGGAGTGCCTTTGGAAACACGGAACTTCACACTGAAAAGCAACATCGCAATGTGTCTGAATAAGAAAGTGTTTTAATCGATGTGTATGGCTGTGACAGACGGATCACAGGACGTTCACAAAAGAGAACGGAAAGAAAAGTTCCACGCTTCAATTACAGCGAGAGAAATAAAGAAGAACCACGTGGATAAGAGAGCAAATGCAAGTTTAAGACATCGTCCCGACTGTTAAGAAAAGAACAAGTGTGCTTGGGCAGGAAGGACACGTTGCTTGAGGGGACGATGGTTGGTGGTCGAAACGAACATGACGGCCAAAAGAGGAAACGCCCCCGATAGTGCACCCACCGTGTAGACAGAGCGATGCAATAAGCTCGTGTGTAGAAGCCACATGGATTGTTCCACCAAAGACTGAGGTATATCGACTGCTTTTGGATGCCTTGATACGTCAGTGGATAGATCATTGCTGGTGATAATGCTGAGCATAACTTAACCCAAGAGAAGAGAATTTGGGGTTGGATGGAGTGGGATGCCCAATGCCCCTTAGCTGTGTGGCCCTTGACGCCTTTGACCTATACAGCTCGGATCTGGTTTCTCATTATCATGGAAACAATCCGCTGTGGGTAATTTCCGGACCAACCCTGGACAGCCCGTCTCCGATTTCTAATTGTCATGGAAGTGTATAGTTTCTGTACTGCCTCCTACAGATGCCGACCTGTAACCTTGCAGACTAGGAGTCTCATTGGACAAAGTGATATATGTGTGATCCATCAATCCCAACTCAGGGAGCGCGGCCATTATAAGAGTGTTCTACAAATACTCGAGACATTTCAGTTCCACTTTTAAAGACACACACATCCACACTAAGACCATGGTCCTCTGCAAGTAATGCCTTGTAGACTTTTGGGGAAGGTATTGTTACCCAGCATGGTATAGAAGGGAATGGTGTGGCTAGCACACCTAGGTCAAATCAGATGAGGCTGAATTGACCGAGGAAACCCAGGAATGGATCATATACCATTTGTTATCCTGGGTTGTGAATCAAACAAATAGTGTTGGGGTGTTAGTGCAGTACCCAATTAACTCACACATGTGCATACACATACCTATGAACACAGATTCAGGTTAACGAGAAATAAGAGGGTTTATTGTCGCTGAGAATAGAAGATATGTCTAAACTTTTCAGCTGAGTCGTCTTCAGGAAATATATTTCCTTGTAATTGAGTTGCTACTCATTATTTAAGTTCACTGGAGCAGCAACTTAATATCTTACACACGCGTGCACGCATACACCCACACACATGTATACATACATTGATGCGGATGTGTGTGCCAGTCTACATTCTGTCTCCATCAGTGTTCACGTGCGATCAGGTGATTAGCCATGTCAATATACAGCAGCGGTGGCCAATCCATGGATCGCAATCCATAGGTGGATCACAAATTATTTTTTGCGTGGATTTCAGGACAAATGAGAAACAAACACTTAACATAAGCACACAGCAATGTTCGTCACCGCTGATGGCGAATACAAATCCTCGCTTTAAGGATTCATACGTAAAAAAACAAAAAACCTTCCACCAATAAATGCCGCTATTACTTTGTCTATAGCATATTACAGGGGCCAACCATCCCATTGTTGGCGATAGCTTTGCTGTGGATCGCAAATCCCCCTGAGATCCCCCAACATGGATCACAGTGCTTGGTGTAATGGCCACCACCGATATTCTACAGGGGAAATAACCCAAAATCAATATAGAATTTCTGGTAGAAATATACACCTCACGTTGTACGTTCTGGGCTGTTCTGCATGCTGTTTGAAGTTTCAGGAATTTAAAAAAATGTTGACATAAAAAACATTGTCAGTCAAAGCGCTCCGATGATGTCACTGCATTTACATGTTAAAATGTATGGGAGCGATTTCACATTTATGTCATGAGTGTTATAACACACTTCATCCTACCTTTAAAATTTCCCTTTTTAATAATTTTACAAAGTTTCAAACTCATATCAGACATCCCAGGACACACAGCCTAGGTGTGTATCCACAATATAAGTGCTTATCAGATTTCTGGGTTGCATATTTCCTTGACATGATAATAACAATATTCACATACACAATTTTGGTTGAGCGATACTGATGGAACTGTAATTGCAATCTCAATTCATCTTTAACTCCCGGTGCGATTGTCAGCATTTGCGGTGGTAATGTGCACGTGTTCATGGTTCCCGGTGTCTTCTGTCCACATCCCCCGTGCTTGTGATGCCAAAGCGACCCCCAGCAGCCACTGCCCCCTCAATTATTGACGGTCGTTTTTGGGGGCTCGTCCGGGACGCTTGAGAGTCAGCCTCCCCCAGTGATGGCCGAGACACTTTGAGCCGTAGCTTGTGAGGCAGCGCACTGCGAGGGGTTTCTGGCCAGGGACGACTTGAGGGTGCGTCGTCCGCTCTGTCCATCACAAACCCATGGGGGTGATTGTCATCTCCATTGCAGTCTTGTGAGGTCATGGAGTCAGACCAGGGAAGATCTTCGTCGTTGTGTCCATATTTTGCCCCGCCAGAGTGTTTCCCCCCGTGATTGTTTGATTCTGTGCTCCAGCATCTTTTCCCAGGCGAGTTTCCTTCTAAATTCCATTTTCTCTCTTTGTGGGTGTCAGCCATCTCAGCACAGCGTCTGATGTTTGGTTTCTCCACCGACCAGTTGTAGAACCTTTCCGCGCATTTGTCTGTCTTTTCAATCCACTCGCTTTGTCCCCGTACACCTCCGAGCCCGTTTAAAATCACACTTGTCCATATCTCTGGGCTGATGTCCTCCGTCTCTCCTCCCACAGATTTCTTTTCTCCATCTGCTAGAGAAAGAGAAAAATCAGTCAAAAGTTAAAATATGGGAAGTTGACCAGGTGGCACAGGGGGCGAACACCATGTCAGAACACTCAGTCATTAACTGCTGAAATCCTGGATTTTAATCTGTGGGTTTCAGCCACATGTGATTAAGTTGAATATTTCACACTAGGTGAGTTAAAGGTCAAAGTACAGTTATCTGTGACTGCACAAAACAAGCCATAATTAAATATAGATTTTCGGTTTTTTCACTTCATTTTAGATTTTTTTAATTAAGAATTCAGTTTAAGAGGTGACATGTATAGAGTATATAGAATAAGGGTGCCTATAGTGTGTAAAATAGACCCATGGAGTCATCTCCCGTAGCTGCTGTCTGACACAAAGCAGTGCACTGCTTACTTTGAGAGTTTTGACTGACAATTGTTTGCATCTCACAACACATTACACCAATAGGAAGAAAATCTTGAAAAATCACCAAACAAATTAAGTCAAGGTGTTGCCATGCTGAAAAGAGTATACATATTGAATGATCGCAGATGAGATGCTAAATTATATCTTATGTTAAAGCAGTTTCAACCTCATTTTAAAACACACAAATGGTCAAAGCACTTGACGTGCAGGTACCGGGTGGATTTTTCCATCACGGGACTGTGAATGATGGTGATGTCTCGAGGAGGCCATCATCCACAAGTGGATAGATTATGGGTGATGGTGACGGTGATGATGATTACGATGATACATAATGCTGCTTCAGCGGGAAATGCTCACCATTCTCCTCCCAGCGTCCTCGTTTGGCCTCCGGACTGGAGCTGCCCTGGCACGCGCCCTCGATGGCACGGGTGGTGGGTGACCCCTCCCCACCCCCCCCGAGACCTCCGACCTCTGGGGACTGACGATCACCCGTCCAAGGATTCCATCCCCGGACCCTGTCGTATAAGCGGGCGACGTCCTCTTGTTTGTTGCGGTGCTGGTTTTTGTCACATGGGTGGTGCTGTTGGTCATGGCTGTTGTCTTGCTGGTGGTCGTAGTGCTGCGGCATGGACGGACGGACAGGCGAAGGGCTCTTGACGTCCTCCCCGTGCAAAAGGCCACAGCGGAGTCGAAGTGAAATAAGCTCCGTCTAGAGAGGGAGAGAGAGCAAAGGGAGTGTTCACATTACTGCGTAGGGTTTCCGCGGATTGTGCTGTACAGCGCCACATGCCGTGGGCTCACAGCACACGGAGCAAAACATTGCACATCATGCCAAACGAAGCAAAGTACAAACTCAAAACACATCAGAGAGCTAAGAGAGAGAGGTTCAACATGTGAAGGCGATTTTCACAGATGCAATCCCGATTGAACTAGAAATCAATTCAGTCTGCTCGCTACCCTGAGCGTCTCGCACAGCTGAAGGACACATCGTTTGCCAAGAGTGGCATGTGGATTTGCGAAGGCGCATACAGGCAACGGGGGTGGTGCAGTGGTTACCACGCACGCACACTTGAGTACACGTATGATGCGTGCACGTGTCAAGGCGTATCGGTGCCTGATTGGTCGACTTAACTTGTGGGTGGGGATTACGTGGTGATGATGATGATGATGTGACACTGGTAGAAGTTCGATCCAGCACCACTGAGGATTGATTAGTGTTTCTAGAGACGACGGCTCATTGGTAACAAACATAATCAACCCTTATGTGATTTGCGACCCAGGTATTTGGTTATTTTGCAGGTATTGGACTATTAATGCTTGCCATAGTCTCATGTTGTCATGGTATGATGATGCTGTGTTGTAGTCATACAATGCTGTCATGGTGCCGTTAGCTCGTGAAGTCATGTTGTAATCGGGTCAGGGTCTCATGGACTTGTGGTTTTCATGTTAACATCATGCCGTGGCTTCGTGGTCTCATTGTGTCATCATGGCATGTTCCGCACTACCGATTAGCACGGTTGGCTACGCGAAAGAAATTCAACATGCACACGTACATGTTCTTGTGCTGCAGTGGCCTTATGGGCTCATGCTGACGTGGCGGTGCTGTGGTACCACGGTGTGACACTATCATGGTCTCATCATGTTCTTGTTACATCATTTATTGTGGCATGACGCTGCCGCGTGGCCGTGTGCCGTCGGTTTTCATGGTGTCGTGATCTCGTGACACCGTGTGTTGTGGTGTGACGCCGGTGTGATGCCGGTGAGACAAGGCTGCTGTGCGGTGTGGTATGGCGGCACCCACCTTGAGCCGTGCGTTCTCGTCGAGGAGGACCGAGCACGCGCGTCTCCAGCACGAGGTCGTTGAGTCTCCGCTTCTCGCGCGACCGCTTGGCCGCCTCGTTGTTCTTCCTGCGCTTGTCCCAGTACGACGCGTCCTTCTTCTCCGACGGGGTGAACTCGCGCTTGCGCCGCCCGGAGGCAGACGAAGCCAATGATCCCTGCGACCCCTGGGACTCCTCAGAGGCCTGGGAAACCAGTAGAACTGCATCGTCAGGTTCCGCGTTGCTGCAGAAGACCTGGGTAGTTGTGGCCTGGGCTATATGGGGGGTCTCCGATGTCGCGGACACCTGTTGAACACGGGTCCTCTGGGAGACCACAATCTGAGGTTTCTTTTGGTCGGAGAGCCGAGATGCTTCGTGAGTGCTTTGTGAAACTTGGAGCTCCCCAAGGTCCTGGGATTCCAGCGAGCCCACTGACTTCTGGGAACTCTGGGAAAGCTTTGGGACCTGGGACCCTGGAGACGAGTGGGAATCGTCGAGGTTGTGAGACACTTCTGGGAATTGGGAGACGTGGGTTTGATAGACCTGTGAGTCTTGGGAGACTTTTGGTAGCCTTCCGTCGCGGGGACATCTTGAGATGCACGATTCTTGACGGACCTGAGATTGCCTCGAGAATGGTGGTTCCTGGGATACTTTTGGGACCCTGGAGAGCACTGAGACCTGGAAACCCTGAGTCACCTGTAAAGTCTCACTGGCTTGGGAAACCTGAGATTCTTGTGGGCCCTGAGTGTCCTCTGGGACCTGAGCTCCGCTGAGTTCGCCGTAGTCGTGCCTTTGGCTTTGTTGTAGCCGTGCGTTCTGAGAAACCTGAGAATCTACGGAACCTGAGTGAACTTCACGTCCATGGGAAATCCGGCGCAGGGGTTCCATGGAGACCTGGCCATGGGAGGCTCTTGAATCGTGTGAGTCACGGGAGACCTGGGATTCTACAGAGACGTGATCTGAGTCCCGCAGATCCTGCTGCTGCTGCTGCTGCTGCTGCTGCTGCTGCTGCTGCTGCTGCTGCTGCTGCTGCTGCTGCTGCTGCTGCTGCTGCTGCTGCTGCTGCTGCTGCTGCTGCTGCTGCTGCTGCTGCTGCTGCTGCTGCTGCTGCTGCTGCTGCTGCTGCTGCTGCTGCTGCTGCTGCTGCTGCTGCTGCTGCTGCTGCTGCTGATTGTGATGTTCCTGCCGATGCTGTTCAGTCTCCTGACTCTGCTGCTGCCGTGGAGACTCTTGATTCTGCTGTTGCTGATGTTGATGATTGAGCTGTTGCTGCTTTTGATGCTTAAACCACTTTTGCTGCCGTTCCTCTTGACGTTTTGGAATGTTCTGATGCTTCTCCTGCTGCTGCTCCTCTTGTCGACTGTTCAGCCTGGGCCCTTCACGAGTGTTCTGCTGATACTGTTGATTCTGCTCTTGCAACTGTTGCTGTTCCTTCAGCTCTAGATTCTGCTCTTGAAACGTCCGATGCTGCTGCTGCTGTTGATGGATCAGCTGTTGTTGATGATGTTTATTCTGCTGCTGTTCTTCTGCTGTCTCTGCTGATCTCTTCTGCTTTTGCTGGTGCTCATAGTTCTGCTGCCACTGCTCACGATGTGTCAGCTGTTCTTGCTGCTGTTGCTCGTGTTGCTGCACCTGAAGGTGTTGATTATGCTGCTGCTTGTCGTGGTGATGTTCTTGCTGCTGCTGCTGTTGCTGCTTTTGATTCTGCTGTCTACGTTGTTGCTGTTGCCACTTCAGCTGCTTCTGCTGTTGAGATTGCTGCTTGTGATTCTGCTGTTGTTTCTGCTGCTGCTGCTGTTGTTGTTCATGATCAGGGTTTTGGGATTGTTGATGCGTTTGTTTCTGTTGCTGCTGCTGCTGGTGATGCTGCTGTTGCTGCTGCTGTTGCTGCTGATGCTGTTGTTGGTGCTGCTGATGTTGCTGCTGTTGATGCTGCTGTTGTTGCTGTTGCTGGTGGTGCTGCTGTTGCTGATGTTGCTGCTGGTGATGCCGCTGTTGCTGCTGCTGTTGTTCTTGATAGTTGGGGTTCCGGGATTGTTGATGTTGATTCTTCTGCTGCTGGTGTTGTGGTTGCTGTTGTTGGTCGGGGATCCAGGATTGTTGAATTTGCAGCTGCTGTTGCTGCTTTTTCTGCCATAGATGCCCTTTCTGCTGCTGATCTTGACACATCAGCCCTTTTTGCTGCTGCTGCTCTTGATTTTGCCACTGCTTCATATTTTCCTGCTGCTGCTGCGGCTGCTGTTGCGGCAGACAAAGACACGGACACAGAGACAGACACACAACAATGAGGCAACTTGCAGACGAAGGCACTTATTCATGTGAGCAATCAACGGCGTATGGTCATGATACACTGTGGCGAATATAGGGAAATCATCATCAGCAGCAGTACAATTCCTCTCTCTCTCTCTTTCGTATGGGAGGAGGGAAAAGCAACAGTTGTGAAAGACTTTATAGTTGAATGCTATTTTTGTTGTTGTCCAACCAATCCACGGAGACGGCAGTGAACGCTGTGTGGATCAGAGCGACATCGTCAGGATGTCGCACGGATGGCGCACTCGCTGGTGTTGCGATTGATGGTTCGGACTTCACCACGGTCGCAAGTTCAGAGATTATTTCATCTTCCACTTGTGGAAGCTGCACGCGCCCATCTCCAACGTTGCGTTCGAGCGCGCTTTAGCAAGGCATCTATGTATGCTGAACTTCTTTCGCACCTCACATAGGCAACCGTGCTAGTCGGAGGTCCAGAGTTCGGGGAGAAGCCCCGTGCTTCCACAGTCTGCTCCTTAACGAGGAGTTTATCCCAGCCTCTGCAGCCGCCCCAGGATTCCGTCCACCGAGTGTCTGAGTGTGAGCACCGATGTCTTTATTTTCGGCTGCTACAGCGCATTTGCGATGAGGAAATGGGGACTTCATTTCTCAACGAATTTGTGCTAAAATACAAAAAAAGCGTTTATTTAAAGTGTCTGCTTCACACAGAGCACACCGAGTCTTGGTTGGTCATGTGACCTTTATTGAACGGGAAGCTGCCCTCCCGGTTGCCCACTCTAGGAGCCAGTGATCAGATTTGACCAGATTTGGGCAAAATACATCTGTCACAATTAAAACAGTGGTTGCTGGTAATTTAAAAGGGACTCACTCAGTCTCCCTTCAAAAACACTGAAAGTGAAAATAAAATTTCCACGGATTTTTGTCGGGATTAAATCTCCCAATGTGTTTTGCACTCAGCTTAAGGTGTTTCGCAATTGGCATATGGGATCGCTTAAGCTACATAGATTAAATTGCAGCTGTCTGTTCTACCACCACCAACGTAATTACAGTTATCACCCACACTACCAACATCCCAACCACTGCTACCACCAACAATAGCAAAAAGGCATCACTCATTTTAGGCTGAGTCAACCTAGGCGAGGCCCAGGACCGGTTCACATAATCAGTCTCTGGCAATGGTGGCCATAGAGTGGGAATCGAACTCGGGTCGCCAGGTTCGTAGCGCAGCGCCCTAACCGCTACACCGTCGCTCCGTGAACATAACGGGCACCCTTGCAACGAGACTCTGTGCTTGTGCACTGTCGCAGGGCGAAACCACGATCGCAGACGGCAATCGCAACCGCCATTCACCACCGTGTTGTTCATGAGATCATCCGAGTGATTGATTGCCAGCCTGTATCACTTTAGAGGCCACGTGAGGTGTCGAAGGCTCGCCCGTGGGAGGCCACGTGACGGAGCCAGGTATGTGTTGGTTTAATTGAGATGACTGGCAGATGCACCTGCCTGTTGCACTCTCCCCCCCAACTGCGCCACCTTGCTGTTGTGTATTCATTCGTGTGACGCTCTGCTTCGCTGTCTCCTCGTGCTTGCTCAAGGACAGCTGCTGCTAACTGCCCGGTCGCGCCTTTGTCTGACCAGCCCTCCTCCACTGACATTACCGGCGCGATATCAATCTGGTGGCTTTGTTTTGTTTGGTCGAAAACGCAAAAGTGGCCGATAGTTCCCACGGAAAGTGCCCGCGTTACCAGTGAGACGTGAATAACATCCGCTGTCGAGTAAAACTGAGCTGCACAATCGTCACGTTGGGTTAGAGCGGTGATTTTTTTTAAAGCCTCATTACGCATTGGGTTTCCACGCTGAACCGAACCCAGACATCTTTCTCAGTTGGCTAGTTCGACCAAAATCGCGCAGTTTGGCTGTGTACAGTTCCAACACAATGCCGGCACCAGATCTCATTCCTGGTGCACGAACACAGATGCCAATTCCCAGACACTGGGTTAAAAAAAACCCAGACAGGTGGAAGCCTTATTTATGCACCATTTAGCGACCCCGGTGTTGTGAGATTGAAAGAATGCCACCACGACAGTGTTGGAAATGCAACAACAACAACATTGATTGTCAGCATGTAATTCTGATTGTGAATGTATTGTTTATTTTCATGATCTAATTTTTCCTGCGGCTATTCCTTTCCGCCAGTTCGAGTGAGCCCTCAGCTCGCAATCAGAAGGTTGCAAGTTAAACATTCCAGTCGTTGGTCGGTTTGGTCTATCATCCTTGCAGGGGTTTGATTTTTTAAAATGCGTAAAAATTCCTGGGAGGTTAACAGTAGCCATAAACTATCCGCCAGTGAAGCGCCTTTGTGCTGGGAAACATTTCATATCGGGTGATAGGACGCGACCACATTCCCACATCACATAGCCACTTAACAAGAGTCTAACCGCTGATGACATCCACACACCACGGGCTACGCGGCGCAACGGAGCGCACACACACACACACATCGCCATGAAGTGACACACGCACACTCATCTGTAACACAGAGATCTGCTGTCTAGCCATCCAGACGATTAGAGCAAGTGCTGTTAGCAAGCGCCTATTAAGACCAGCACGGCGCACGTGAGGGAGCGGTGTGGCCGCATTGTGTCCCCGTTTCTGCTGATTTCACACCCCACAGGGGCACTCTTTTAATGACGAAAGGACCTGACAAAGGCCGGTTCCAGATACCGCCTGCGACTGGTACCACACCGGTGGCCCTGCAGGAGGGTATCGAACTCAAACGTCTGAAATATAATTCTAGATTTGAAGCTTTCAGGACTGCAAGGATTCATATTCTTAGGTTTTTTCGGTAAAGTCACGTAGGTAAAAAGTTAAAATTTATAAAAAAAAAATCACGACGTTTCGGAGGCAACACAAGCTTCCGAGATAACAAGGTAATACACAAGGACTGTTTTCTTGGAATTTCTCTTACTTGATACAGCTATCGTGCTGTGACGGTTCCACCTGAAGATGGAAGCTTGTGTTGCCTCCGAAACGTCGTGAGTTTTATTTTATTTTACTTTTATTAATTTAATTTTTTTTTACCTACATGACTTTACCGAAAAAACCCAAACGTCTGAAGTCTAACCACAACGGGTGAACCGCCGTGCCACCACTGATCCCCGCAAAGACAAAATGAGTTCCCCACGTAGCATTTAGCAGAACTGTTGGGGCTGTAATGCCACTCTCTAAATATAAATTACATCAGACACAGATACTCGCACATTTCACTACACAGACACACTCCTAGACACTTGCATACACAGAGACACATTCACACGCACACCTGCAAATACACCCACGCCACACACGAAGACACAGACTCACACCGCACTCAACGTGCACACGGACTCGCAGACACACAAACCAATGGGCGCACATCGACTTACCTCTCCGGAGTGTCCCATCTGTGAGTGAGCTTGCTCGTAGTCGCTCTTGCCGTGGCGCTAACCCTTTATAGGAGGGTGCTGGTGGGTGGGTGGGGGTGCAGGGTCTGTGTGTGTGTGTACGGGGATCTATATACAGGGTGGGTGTGCAGTGCGCGTGTGTGTGTGGGGGGGCTTATATTCAGTACTTAATATACGAGGGCGGGGGTGTACGACGCGTGTGGATGCAGTGTGTGTGGGCGTGAGGTGGAGTGGTTAGCGCGCTGCGCTCAGAGCCCAGCCAACCGGGTTCGATTCCCGCCCACGGCCAACACCAGTGATGATTTTCAGAACCGGTCCTGGACCTCCCCTAGGTCGACTCAGCCTCAACTGAGTTTCATCTGGTGCGGTGTGTAAACATCACCGCTGGGTAGACAAAGGCAGTCGGGCGTGCTTTTGGCGATACTACCCTGTTTCGGCCTTAATAGGTGCTCGCAAATCGTACTTGCCCCAACACTTTTCTTAAGGCTATACGGGGGATATTTGTCTTGTTAATTTTAGTCGTAGTATTCTGTGTGCGTGGCTGGGCAGTGTGCAGTTGTATGTGTTCGTCGAGAGTGTTTGCCTATCGTGTGAGCGTTGTGTCTGCAGAGTACGTGTGTGTGTATTGTTCCACTGATGCGTGCACTGCCCCTCGGCCCTGGTCACACGAGTCGAATTGTCGGCAGTGGCTCTAATATCATTGGCACGTGGTATCTGAAATTGCCCTAGGTCAACTCAACCTTACGTGAATGTCTGCTGCAGTGATATGATAACATTGGAACTTTGAAGACAAAGGAGGCTGGGCACGATGCCTCGAATTCTCCCCTGGCCTTAATAGGTGCTCACTAACCGGCATCGGCTCTAACGGTGTACAAGGCTAGACGGATGAGTGTTGCCACTGTGCGTTGCGATGTGTTTGCAGGGTGGTTGCACACTGGTTCCGCTCCGGACCCAGCGACCTGAGTTCGATTCCAAACCACGGGCTGACATCAGTGGTGAACAGATCTCGGGCTTCCCCTAGCTCGACTCAGCCTGAAATTAGTGTCTTGTGGAGTGTGTGAACATCGCCACTAGAGAGACAAAGGCGGCCGGGCGTGGTGCTGGCCACCCACCTCCTCGTGTGCCGTGTCGGCCTTCATAGGCATTCGCTAACAGCGCATGCTCCAGCAGTCTGTTACTGCCTTTGTTGCACCATGTGTGTGCCATGTTTGCGTGCTACTGCCGTGATTGTATTGAGGTGTGTGTTGTGGTCACGAGCTTGGCGTTGTAGTGAAGCGAGAATGATGACCTCTCAGCTCGCTGGATGGGGGACGCCTTCGTTAGCGAGGGGTGGCAGGGGATGCCCGGGCCTGGCCTGCCATTGGTCCAGGGGTCACAGCGAAATGCAGCGACATGCCAGTTTCTCGTGTTCTCCGCTCATTGTGGATGTTGTCATCGCATGCGCGATCAAAACGGCGTAATTGCGTCGTTCACTTGGATTGCCAATTCTATGAACGTTGGTCAAGCGTTTGCCATCTTAGATGGGGGGCACCAGCGAAGTCAAATATTTGGTCTGGACCGATGCCACAGCAGCTGCAGGGGTCACAGTGCCGCGCCGTGCCCATTTCCCCCCCGGCATCGGGAGGAGGGAGGGGGGTGGGGACAGATGGCGACCCCAGCTGCAAAATTGGATCAAATTCTTCCTTGCACCTTAAAATAGCCAGCCAAGACTGTGGTTCTCTTTGTGGATGTGAAGGGGATATCCTGGGTGGGCACCCACTACCAGAGTGAAAACATGGCAGGCTCACCTTACAGATGACCAGCCAGTGATCAAGTGGACAGATTAGCTCCACGGTAGGTCATTTGGCAAGCACGTGGGCTCGCATTCACTGCCCCACCACGGTAGAATTCTTTAGAACATTTTTTTTATTTAGTTTGTTGTCCTACCCACGCACCTCCGATTAGCACAGTTGGCGACATACGTTGGCGACATACGTTGGCGACAGATCTCCAACATGCATACAATCATAGGTATAGTCCAACTGCTGTTTGTGTTGTTCGCAGCTCGCACGAACCCATCACGTGTGGGATGCGCCCAGGACTCACACAGCCCCCTGTCACATCGCGGAGTAAACGGGAGCTGACCCCCTTGGGACGCTCCAAGGCACGCAGGGTCCTCCTCTTCCAGCCGGGTCTCTCCAGCTCAGCGGCGCAGAATACTGTGGAGACTGTATCACCACGCTCGGCACGCCACATCCAGTATCTTTATCGCGTCACGTCTGTGGCTACTCGCAGCCTGTCTCGTCCGTGCAGTGTCTACCGGCGAGACGAAACATATTTAATGAGAAATTAAACCCGGGGGGCGCATGGGGGCGAGCACCGGAATGTTGGGAAGCCACACCCTGTAAATGGGTTCCTGGAAAGAATTATATCTCACGTCATCTTGCAAAGCACGCCGACGAGAAGCTTGCGAAACCCATCTACTCCCGTGTAGTAACGACGATTCACCTGTTTTTTTTTATCTCACCTGGGGAGGCCCACTGAGCTGTACAACTCTTTTTCAGAAGCGACCTGGCCACACATGATAGCCCAACGAAGTGGCTTCTCACGTGGATATTTATGTCAACCAAATATTCTACGCGCGTGTTTCTACATTGTGAGGGGTAAAACCGGAGGACCCGGAGAAAAATCCACGCGACCACGCGGAGACACCGCGAAATCCAAATATACAGCAGGTGTCAGGGTCGGAATTGCACTAACGACCTCCTGTATACCAGGCGAGGCAGTTAACATCTCGACATCGCGTAGGTTGGCCCTGAATAGACTCCAAATTCTTCGAGCTCATTCCTCTTATCGACACAAAGGCTCAGATAATAGGGAAGAATCGTCACGCCGATTGTTTATTTTGTGCGGATCGTTTCAGGGGAAAGTGAAAAGTAGAGTATCAGATAATAGGTGTACAGAGAAGAGGACTTGTAATTGGGGAATCAGGCCATGTGCAATCAGTGGGGTCGTGATACAGGCACTGAAGGATCACCGTAATCAGGTTTGCAACAGCAGATTCCGATGATGCCATTGCAATACTCCAAGTTTCGGTGTGTAATCAGATTACCGCTCGGGCATACCTTCACCGCTGCTGTCATTAACGCTGCCAAATTATATAACGCAGCACACTCTCGTTGGCCAACCAGCTATAATGTCCCAGACACTGGCCCTTCAGAACGCAAGGGGCAGCTAAAATATTGACCCCCACCCCCCAACCCCCCCCGACCCCCCACCCCCCCGACCCCCCAGCCACAAGTCTACTATGACGAGTTGCCCTAATTCAGAGCGACAACGAAGGGTTTTATAAAACCTAATAACCCACATTCTGTCTTCTTTTTTAAATTATTAACACACAACCTATTGTGGCTTCATTCACTCGCTTGGAAATCCACTTTCGATTAAAAAAAATGAAAGACGCTTCTTCTCCCTGGGGCTGTCTTGTACCGTGGGTTTACTAACTCGGGTAATCCTCCTATTGTCAGCACAACCCAGCTTGCTTGGCAATTGCCCTTTTGTGAGTTACCGCATTTTCTGGGCACCCCCCTAATTTAATTCAACAATGCATTGTTTCGTCTTTGTCACTTCTGTAACAATGCCATTCGCCGCACCGTCACCGAAGAGGAAGAGACATTTTTGGATGCGATGTTCACGGGGATTGAAAATGGATGCTCCAATTCGTGCTGTCCAATGGCTTTAGGCGTGCATTGTGAGCATTAAGACGCTACTTTAATCGCCGAGTCGATGATTCATGAAATTACAAGGTTCGCCAAAGTCTCGGTGTTCATTGTTAATTCCCCGAGGCTCAGAGAGCCCGGCTTGGGCACCCTTGGGGGATCTTATCAAAGTTGCTGCTTACACAATGGACAACGTAGTTCGATGACTCATGTATGGGTCGACATTTTTTTGTTGGGATATTATATATTTGTGTGAAACAGAAAAAAAAGTCGGCATAACAATGCATTTCATTTAATAAAGCACATTTCTACAAGGATATTCAAGGCGCTGTGCGTCACACGATCATTTCGCCAAGCGGAGGAAAAGCTAGAGAGGCATTAGAGGCGAATCGATGGAACAGAAAACAAGAGGCTGGCTTTTCTATAGCGCCCCACTCACCAAGCAGAAATCCATGACAACACACGAGGCTCGGAGGCCGTGTGTTTTTCCAAAGGTCTATTCGCATTCAAAGACCTATTTATTACGATTGGATTCATTACACAGTCACGTAGGATCAGCTGTTCACCCCGCGCGACACCCCCTAATGAATTTTCAAACAATACAAAAAGACCGCTTACACTTCGGTCAGATAATTCCGATATGAATTATTCCGATATGAATTATCTGACCCGTTGTGGAAAATAAACTTAACTTTGTTTTATTTTACCCGCTAAGGGCCACTGAGCTATGTAGATTTTTTTCCCAGAAGCGACCTGGCCACAAATGATAGCCCAACGAAGTGGCTTATCATATGTATAGCAAGCCAAAATGCTATAAACGCTTGCTGATTTTAAATGTGGAGAGAAAAACCGGAGGATACAAGAACATCCACGTGGCCACGGGTAGAGAGAGAACGTGCAAACTCCAAATGTATAGGCGTCAGGGTCGGGATCGACACCACGACCTCTTGTATACCAGACGAGGTAGTCAACATCTCGCCACCGTGGAAGGATGGAAGGGAGAAGACCTGAAGACCTGCACGTGGCGAGAGACTGCGAGGGTTACCACTGCGCCACCATAATCACATTTCACCGGCTTTTACTGAATAACAAAATATTAAACTCTGTGTTCATCATATTCACGAATATGCACGATTTGTATTACGCGACGCACAATAAAAAACAACCGCAGTTTGGCACTAAGTGGCGGTGACGTCACAACAGCGCTTGTGCCAGGCTAGGTACACTTTGAGGATGTGACACCCAAGCCTTAACAGACTGTTGGGGCAAGTGCTGTTAGCGAGTAGCACCTATG